TGAAGCAACAGCTTGGCACAAGTGGTCCATTAGTGGACTTTTTGGAGAGAGGGGTACCTGTCAGCTGAGAGCTACGCGGGGCAGAACATTACACCTGTAGGATCTCAGGGAAATCACTTGGTGCACAGATATGAGCTCATCACCTGGATTAGCCTGTATTCACTCATAGTGGGACAGAGTAGCTGCGTAACCCCAGCGTGAGTACAGCTCTCATGTTCTCGATCGCAGCCTCGTTAGGCTTCAGCTTCTCCACCAGTAAAATGAAGCTAAAAGTCGCTTCCTCAAAAAGGAAGGTGGTGTTCTTTCTCCTTGTCTGTGAATGCTCTGAGATCATGAGAGATGGTGCTGAAGTGGTGGGGGCTATTACTGCTCAGAAACTGCCCTGCTAACTCTGTCAGTGGCAGATCGTCACAACAGCAAATCCATTCCTGGCTGTCTGGAGGACAAGTTCAACTTGCCACTGCCTCCCCCTGTAAGAAAGCAAGTAATAAGAGACACACCTTGGGATGAAACTAAGAACTTTGTGTTGTTCTGAGAACTCTAAGACAGAACTTGGACAGAATTCTCACTGTTCTGCCACCTTGTAAGGCTTGTAGGGCATATTTCTTGTACTGTGTTTAAGGGGGTCATTTATTTTTATTTCCCATCTAGGTAGGATTCTTCCTGCACAGTCCATCCTACTCAGCATCCAAAGGTAGGGAACTCCATCTTGTTGATGTGACAAAGCTCTGTGACAACCACGCAACTTAATTTTGGGCCGTGTTGTCCTCTCGGGGCAGTTTCACATGGACCTTGTGCCATGTCTGCCACAGCTCTTAATGGAAAACAAATTTATACCGTGTCTCCCAAGTCTCACTACATCGCCGCATGGGAGAAGCTTGAGAAGGCTCTAGCCTGCCTTCTCAAGGTCCACAGCAGGAGTCTGCCAAGGAGAGCGGAGGGCGGCGGAGTTCCTGCACCCAGGACTCCCGAGGGACGTGCAGCCCCCCCCGGCAGGGCGCCGTGCCCCCCTCCCCGC